TCAAATTACAATCTCACTGGGTGCCTCGTCGTGATGGCCTACAACCACAGTCCAGCCTGTAGCTGGCAGGTACTAGTCAGCCTCGCTGTTAGGCCACTCCACGACTAATACTAGGGTTGTGAGCCCTAGGCAGGAGCCTCGTGTGACTCACTGGTCAATCTCCTCGGTCGGCACCGCAGTGGGTGATCTCTTTCACCAGCCAGCCCCTGATACGGTGAATCCCGTTACTGCCACTCCTCAGGCAGGCAATCACACACTCAGCAGAGTTCGTCCAGGGGTGGCTCACAGCTTCTACAAAGCAGACTGGTGAAGAGACCTTGGCTGCCTTGGGTAGACTGATTCAACGTACCTCACAGCCGTCCTAGGTTGACTCTGAAAGCAGACACATCATCAGTACTAGGGACACTACATGGGATCACTCGGAAACATCACTTACTAGCTTAGACACAAACGTCCACCTATTCGCTCCATAGATGGCGTTCACTGTCTAAGCGCCACCTCACCACAGGTCAGCAGTGGCTACGTCACGAGCCGACTAGGACAGGCATCCAGCACATATTGCCGGCATCTCCTGTCATCACTAGATGACGTTGTCCATTGTGACGGTGTTCCCCCCTTATATTTCTCCCACTCCAGCTGTAAGAGTTATATCCACTTTACCCGAGCGTTCTCTACGTTGCGGGCAACAATTTGACGTATGTCCGAGCGTGTAGTGTTCTCGCGTTGGCGAGAAATTCGTGAAAGAAGAGTATTATGGCCTGTGGTTTAGGCCCTTTAGGACGCCAATATGGCGCCGGTCCCTCCGTTCTCCCGCCAAAACTGTATGACGTCAGTGGCACCAGATTGGTCAAGGACAGTGACGTGGCACAGGGAGCCATTGCGAAACGCCCCTGGCAAGTATGACATTACGAGAGTAGGGGGGGTCCGGAGATCGCGCCTCTGTGGCACCAACAGTTGGACACGACGCGTTGACGGGGTCAGACGTGCGAACGTTGGTCCTGTCAGTTTGACAGCTGTATCCCGCTCCCGTGGATTTTACGCGTCACCCGGAGTCTGCAAGTACGCTGTGAGGTCTTCCTTTGTTCATGTGTTGGACCGAAGAGGGAATCGACAGAATATTGAGCAACAAGTGCTACAGGGACAGGTGCTTTGCAAGAAGAAGTGAAGTCTGTGCAGTGACGTCTGAGACAGTTCATCCGTCTAGTGACGACATAGCGGCTGGGCCAATCCACCAGGAAACAGCGGAAGAAGAAAACTAGTTGGGAATCAGGACGACTGCAGACGTAGTGGCAAGGAGAAGTCGACGGCCAGGAGACCGACTCCAACCCTTCAAGAAGTTGTGGAGGAGCACGGGGCCTGCAGAGGACAGAGCACGGAGACGACGCGTTATTTTGGGATGTTGATTGAGATCCTGGAGAGAACATCAGTGTGTGTGTGTGGGGGGGCGTTCCCTACAACGAGTCGAAAGCTGGGACCAGGAGCTGCAATTTGACTCTCACCGGAGGGCGAGTTCACATCAGTAAGGTGGAAGTAGGTGATTCTAGTTTCCCTCCCAATTCCCCTTTAGTCAGCTATATTTAGCCAGAGTATCTTCTATGTTGTGAGCAAGGCTCACCAATGTTCATGTCACAGTAGGACACAGTTGTGAAGAGTGAAGCTGTATAAAGCTCTCACAGAATATATTAGTGGTGTGTGGGAGCGCTGGTGATTATTGAAGAGATTGCTGTGTCGGCAACTGGCACGCGTCTCACACCACACGCCCTCCGAATTGCTGTGGCCCTCCGCCTTGCTGCCCCAATCCACACCAGATATAGGTGTATTTGCGGCGAGGTGGTGGCTGACAGGTACGGTCACCATGGCCTACTCTGCCAAAGCACAGGGGATGGCACTCGAGGCACAGTGAAGTTAACGACATCATCAAGAGGAGCCTCACTACAGCTGGATGCCCAGCTGAAAGAGAGCCCCGTTACCTAACGCCCCGTAACTCTGATGCTCTTATTGGTCGCCCGGATGGTATCACAGTGAACCCCTGGAAGAATGGCAAGCAGTTGGTATGGGACTACACGTGCGTATCAACCCTGGATAACACCTACATTAACCTCAGTGTTGCACAACCAGGTGGCGCTGCCACCCACAGGGAAGCAGCCAAATCCCGTAAGTATAGAGAACTGGATCACCACTACAATTTTGTCCCCATTGCTTCTGAGACGCTCGGCGCCTGGGGTAAAAGTGCTACCAGTTTTTTGAAGGAACTGGGTTCTATGCTCATTGAAACAACAAGGGACCCGAGAGCTGCAAGCTTTCTTTTCCAGCGCCTCAGTGTGGCGATACAGAGGGGAAATGCGCACTGCATCCAGGGTTCCTGCCCGCTATCTGAGGAGCTGGAGGAACTCGACAACCTATGACAACCATCTTTGTAACCCATATGTAACTCCTTTTTTGTAACAAAGTTCAAATAAAGTAAATATATATGTGTACATACAAAAGAATGGGGGTGGTAGGAGAAGATAATATTAGTGTTCAGTGAGAGACCACAAGGTCTCCTCTGAATACTTTTTATTTTCTTCTCCGAGGCTATTGGTCCCCACATTGGCACCAGAGGTGGTACCATTTAAAAAAATGTATATATATATATATATATATATATATATATATATATATATATATATATATATATATATATATATATATATATATAAGAGTGTACCAGTTATTGGTGTTAGGCTGTGTGCCCAGTATTATCTTATTATTATTGATATTGATGAATTGATCTATATATATATACATATATATATATATATATATATATATATATATATATATATATATATATATATATATATATATATATATATATATATATATATATATATATATGTCGTACCTAGTAGCCTGAACGCACTTCTCAGCCTACTATGCAAGGCTCGATTTGCCTAATAAGCCAAGTTTTCATGAATTAATGTTTTTTCGACTACCTAACCTAACCTAACTTTTTCTGCTACCTAACCGAATCTAACCTATAAAGATAGGTTAGGTTAGGTTAGGTAGATTTGGTTAGGTTCGGTCATATATCTACGTTAATTTTAAGTCCAATAAAAAAAAACTGACCTCATACATTATGAAATGGGTAGCTTTATCATATCATAAGAAAAAAAATAGAGAGAATATAATAATTCATGAAAACTTGGCTTATTAGGCAAATCGGGCCTTGCATAGTAGGCTGAGAAGTGCGTTCTGGCTACTAGGTACGACATATATATATATATATATATATATATATATATATATATATATATATATATGTCGTACCTAGTAGCCAGAACGCACTTATCAGCCTACTATGCAAAGCCGAATTTGCCTAATAAGCCAAGTCTTCATGAATTAATTATTTTTCGACTACCTAACCTACCTAACCTAACCTAACCTAACTTTTTCGGCTACCTAACCTAACCTAACCTATAAACATAGGTTAGGTTAGGTTAGGTAGGGTTGGTTAGGTTCGGTCATATATCTATGTTAATTTTAACTCCAATAAAAAAAAATTGACATCATACGTAATGAAATGGGTAGCTTTATCATTTCATAAGAAAAAAATTAGAGAAAATATATTAATTCAGGAAAACTTGGCTTATTAGGCAAATCGGGCCTTGCATAGTAGGCTGATAAGTGCATTCTGGCTACTAGGTACGACATATATATATATATATATATATATATATATATATATATATATATATATATATATATATATATATATGTGTGTGTGTGCTAGAGTGTTGAATATCATTTTCATGTGTACAGTGAATTATTGTGTTATCGCCTTCGAAAGGAATTACTGAGTCTAAGGTCAGTACCGTGGTTAATTGCATTCATTATCATTATTATGATCTGCGGTGCATAACGCCTTTACAGTGAATTATTGTGTTTATCGCTGTAGAAATGATTTATGGAGCTTGAGACCAGTAAAGTGACTCATTGTGTTCTATTGCCATTATAGCAGATATTGTTTTGATTGCAAATATTGTGATTACTGCGAATTTAAAGAAACAGGCTCTTAACGCCAGGAAACAAGTACAGAGGAGTTCACACAGTGAGGGGGGCCGCCCAGCTGATTTTGACAGGAGGGGGAGTATTGCCCTCTTGATGAGTTCCAGTTTTATGAAGAGAGAGTGACTTACTGCCATGTTCTTGTTGCTTCGTTGTTGATATGGATATACTACCTTGTGTGTTTTAAGTAAAATACAAAACTACCTTCGCGTTTGTATTATCCCTCCCTATCTTTTTGCTATAGAACAGTTGGAAAGAGTGAGAGTGATAGAGATACATACCTGCCTGTGACCAGTTTTAACGAGTGAGCTCTCTGTCACTAGTACCACAATCCTACGATACCACTGACGTGTTACTGGACACGGGAAACACCAGTTGGCGACCTTGCAGTTAGTAGTAGAGCCTGTGTCGGGGCGGGCACACGGTTGGGAGAGAGCTGACCGTGTTTTCACTCGTCTTTAGCTATAAGACCGGCTGGAGATTGACTGGGATACTCTCCTGGCGAACAGTGGCGGTGTGAGGATTGAGTGATGAACCGCAGGGTTACGGTGAGTAACAGTTATCACTAATACTACTTGGTGGTGTCTGAAGGGAGAGAGGGACACCCTGAAATTAGCGACCGTTGACAGGATATTAAGTACGGTCATTTATACTTATTCTTACAACTAAAGTAAACCCCGACATTGGCGACCTTGCCAGGATTTCGGGATTATGTTCTTGTATACTGTTACTTACTTCGTCGATGTATACAACCGACACCCCAATATTGGCGACCTTGCCAGGATTAAGTACTTATACTGTTTCTTACCGGTAAACCCCGACATTGGCGACCTTGCCAGGATAACGATCAAGGATATCGATCAGGATAACGATCAGGTTAACGATTACGGTTGCGACTGTGGTACTTGACAGTGGTATTAGGTGCAGGTACAGATTATCGCTCATAGCACAAGATGGAGGATGAGAAAGTAGTAAAGTTTATTGATACCAGAGATGAGCGGGTGCTGGAGGATTGCACGAAAGCGCAGCTGCAGTCGATAGCTGACCACTTTGGGATAAAGTTGAGATCTTCCAAAGTGGGAGAGAGGAGACTTGAGATCGTGGCACAGCTCAGGGCCCGAGATGAGGCTTTATGGGAGGAACGACCACGGACAGCTGCCAGTGCAGGGGAGAACGTGAGCAGTAGGGGATCCAGCGGCAGCAGGCGCAACGTCAAGCTGGAGATAATGAAGCTGCAGCTGGAAGCACAGCTGAAGTGTGAAGAGGCACAGCTGCGTAAGGAAGAGCGTGATCAAGAAGCACAGCTGAGACGTGAAGAACGGGAGGCACAGCTGAAGCGTGAGGAACGAGAAGCACAGCTGAGATGGGAAGAGCGTGAGCACGAGGCACAGCTGAGACAGGAGCGCGAGCTGGAAGCTAAGCTGAAGCAGCAAGAAATTGAAGCAAACCGAGAGGTTGAGCTGAAGCGAGCTGAACTAGGGCTAGCCCCACCTGCCCCTCCACAGCAGGAAGACCATCGGGTGAGAGAACGAGATTTGCCGGTCTTTGTGCCAAACGAAGCTGAAGGTTTCTTTGACCACTTCGAGAGGGTCGCTTTTTTGAAGAAGTGGCCGAGAACAGAGTGAGCTGAGCTGGTTCAGGGTAGGCTCACTGGTGAAGCTCGCGAAGCCTACAACATGCTTGACCTCAAGGAGTGCACCAACTATGATGCTGTAAAGAGAGCCGTGCTTCACTCTTTCAAACTGACGCAGGAATGTTACAGGAAAAGATTAAGGGAATGTACCCGTTCGCCAGGAAAATCGTATGCGGAGACGGCGATGGACATGGAGAGAAAATTCTTGAAGTGGCTGGAATCTGAAGGAGCGAAGTCAGCTGAAGATGTCAAGAGGCTGATGGTCATGGAGAAGTTTATGTCCGTGCTCTCTCCTGAGATCAGGGTTAGAGTAAAGGAGGCGGACATAAAGGACCTGAGGGCCACTGCCGACAGAGTTGACATGCTGGAAGAAGCCTTGCGACCACGCCGAGAGGGACAGCACCAACCGCCAGTATACTCCGGATATGGGAGAAGTTATAGAAGGACGGACGGATGGAGAACAGGAACGAGTTCTCCCAAGTCTCACCTCTCGAGTGGAGACAGTAGAGGATCAAAGAGTGCTGTGGAGCCGGTCAAGAAGTCCTTAGCTGAAAGCTCAGGAGCTGTTGCTGCAACAAGAGACGCTATGAAGGAGACGACTGAAGGCGTGAGGAAGACCCACGGAGCGACGGCCTCTGGAGGCGTTGCCAGGGCGAGCGGTGGTGGAAGGTCACCGCCAAGGAAGTCCCGCTGCTACAACTGTGGGGCATTCGGACACTTCTCGCGGGAATGCAGACGCCCTAAGCAGCAGGGAAACGTTGCTTTCGTGAGGGTAGAGGACCAGATGGCCGAGAGGGTGCGGGATGAACCCATACTGAGTGGGGAGAAAAGAGTTCACCCATTCGTGTGTGAGGGGACCGTAAGGATGAGGGACGCATGTGAGATTTTTTTTCTTTGACAATTATCAAAAGAATTAAGTCCTATTGATGTTACATTAATCGTAACTACCTCGCAAGAGAGGCAGACCTTAAACAGCAAGAGCTGCCAGTGGCAGATACTTAATCTTAAAGCCTAAGATCATAGGACCGCGGGAGCAAACCACCAGGCGAAACAACATGGGTAACACCTGTCACTTAGGTCGCTGGCTCCTCCTAGTTGACAACTAATAAAGGGCAGCCAATGGATTCTCACTTCTTATTTATAGAAGTGTGGTGCTGTGCAATGGACTCGAGCTTTAGATACAAACTTGATATGAACATAAGCAGGCAAAGCGTTGCAGAACATGAAATGTGGGGCAGTAATATTGGAAGGTTTGACGTAAACGACCGTTTTCTATAACAAACAATTTATTCACAAAACAAATACTAAAACTACTACACAGTGAATTTATGTTACTTTACTGTCACTCCAGTGGCACATTCAAGAACAGCTAATCAACAGCCTGATGGACCCAGGTATCCTTATCCCGTCGTCACTGACTGACTAATGACACTAACTGAACAAAGTGGTGCCCACTGGTGACGCAAGCTTGCAATCAATATTGTCACAGCTTCCCGGTGAACCAATACTCTAATCACAAAATTTGACTGGCGCTTGCTGTCCTCAACGAGGTTCCAAGTAACAGGGCGGTTAATCCAAGAAGGATAACCCCTTATAAAAATCTTACGTTAACACTTGTCTCTCAGGACAATCAACAACAAAAGTTACTCTAATTGAATTTAAACAATTACGGTAACACACACGTGTCTCAACGACACTTAAATGGCAGCAATAACTCGTAAATCAATTAATTACATCAACTTGAAAATCAAGCATTCGGTGAGTAATTCCCAATTAATTACTGAATACAACAGCCTATTAATTCAAACGAGTATTGATAAAGCCTACTGTCTCTCAACTGACAGTTCACTTCCGGTCTTACGACAAGATTACCTTAACGAGGGTAGACTACTGTACCACACAAGGTTACAAGACACTCCGTGTAAACAACAACATCAACACCTGGTGAATTCACTAAGTGGCGGTTACTAATTCTCTTTAATTAGCTACGAGTGCTTAATCACTCTGTCCGCAGACAGATCTGATCAGTCCAACGAATTACAGCAGCTTAATTACAGCGCAATTGACTCCGATCATAACAGACCGTCAACCCCTTACGTTAATCAATCAATTAACGACAGCTCGTTAAATCGTTAACACTACATTAGTCTTCACTTGACAATTCCTTCACTGCGTGAACTTCACTGTGACTGTTGCCTTTACACGTCTCTACGTTAATCACAAGAATGTTCAACGAAGCAAGTGACCTCGTTAAGTAAATCGTGACCCCCGTTGAACTTAACTGACTAATTCTCACGGAATCCTTCACAGTACACAACGCCTTCCACCAAGGACAAACTTGTCTACGGTTTACACACGGTACAACCCAGTACATCACAGTACAACACAGTAGATCCTTGCCACTCACGGCAAAACTTGTAAATGACTTCCCTCAGTAAATTATCTACCAATAATTCACACTTTACCACAACACAACGGTAAAATTTATAACCAAGGGAAACCTCCCTGTTACCCCTTTCACTGCTGAAAAGGGAATCAAATTACAGGAAATTACATACACGGCACATAGAGAAAATAGCAGCAAATAACTCACTTTACTCTACCGTGTCGTGTCCTCACACACGTCAAAATCACAGTTGGGCCCAACCTCAACTTGATGACGGCAAACAGGGTAAACTCACACTTCTCCAATTCCCATTCACCTCACCAGGTGGTCACAGGGACAAAGGACAGACGGAACACTGGGGCGAACCCAGCTTCAGAGTTTTATTACCCAAAACGGAAACAGTGTACTTATATCAATCATGTGGGCCCGCAACCTACTCTCACACACATACACGTCAACCTCACACTCCCACTGCTGCTGCTGGATGATGACGTAGGCGTCCTCACTTCCTACACGTGGTCAGGTGGAGCACAGAGTCCTAGACCATGGGTTTAGCTCCACACACAGAGACCAGGTGGCGCGAACAAGCCGGCTTAGGCAGACCAGGGTGCGCGCACAACAGCAGGGATGCGGTACCACGCCCTTCCACTTGACACGGTACCCCAGGATACGACGGTACACGGTGTTACACGGTACACGAGACACAAGATGGACTCCGTCACTGTTCTTTTGTAATTCCTCAGAATTAGGAATTTTAAGGTTTCTCTCATAACACTGAAACCTTCTCTAGCACGTCTCACTGCAGTACCTTCAAGCACAGATATGATAGACGACGGATGTCACTTTCGTAGCCCGATAATTAACCGCCTCACTCAGTCCAGTTGCTCTAAGATGGCGTCCCACAATTACGCAGCTAGGTGACAAGTTCACACTGTTCGGTACAAGTAACTTTCCGAACTACCGGATTCTTACTGACGGCACACGGAAAGATAGCAAAATGATAGGCGTGACTTTAATAACGTTGCAGGCGGTATTTCCTGATGCTTGGCCTAGCTTGGAAAATTACGTCCTATAAAATTACATAGCAACGTTCTAGGTATGAATATTTTTTCCCGCCAAGACTACCCCTGAGGTACCATGCGGCACCCCTCAGCGTCTTGACCAATCACAGTTCAGCATTCCTGAGGCCCAGGAGCCCTGGCCATTGGCGCACCTGCCTCACGACGCTACCCCCCTCTCTCACGAGGAAGACACGTGATAGGGGAGGGGGGGTGGTCTACAGCCGTTAACCCCCCCATACCTCCCTCTCTACACTTGACTTGTACAAAAATTTCCCTGAAATCAGCTCCCTCCTGTAATTTCCTTCACAGACCTGATACAGCGATCAGAATGACATTATGTCTAGCATATGTCCCGGGCTGTGCAACGACACCCAATACGACTGTGGAAAAGTTATATACAGAAAGTTGAATCACGGTGCACATCACTGGTGCACAATGCAATTTTGTACTTAATTCAGTGCACGCGAGAGCAGGAAAAATATGTCTCCTGACAATGCAGACCCCATTCCTGTGAAGATATTGAGAAACACCTTGGCAGATTTTACCCTGGTGAGTAGGACCCTGTTCCCCATGGGTTACGAGAGTACCAGTGTGCGGGTGGCTGTTGTGACCACTGTGGGTGGCCCAGTGAGGATACCCCTACACCAGGTGACTCTGAATTCTGATTATGGCTATCAGACCCTGGTGGTAGGGGTCTGCGCATCAATGCCCAAGATGGAGGCACAAGTCATCCTGGGAAATGAGGCATATGGAGGATGTGTCCTCCCTAACCTCGTGAAGGGAGAGGAGTGTTTGGAGCACTGTAAGGAGAATGGCGGAGTATTAGACGCCTGTGGGGAAGAGAAGGGAATTGCCACGGTAGCGTTCCCTGTATGCGCTGTGATCCCAAGGCAGTGTGACGGACACGGAGGGAGTGGATCTGATAGGGCTGAAGATGAGACTTCCGAAAGCCTGGGAGTCGATCACCTCTTCGTGGAACCTGGAGAACGAGTGGAAGGCAAAGGGAGCTAGGATGGTGAGTTACAGGTGACCCTCGCCAGTTCTCTTGGAGTGGACCGCCCTCGTCTGGGAGAGTTACAGCAGATAGAGTTCCCGAATTGATTCATGAGGCCAAAGGAAACGTGTTGGTCCTGAGAGGGCCACTCATTTTTATATACAGGACGGAATGCTAATGAGACAGTGGAGGCCTGTGAGTAAGAAATATTGCAGGAACAACCGTGGACATCTTCAAGAGAAAACTGGACGGTTTTCTAAGAGACATTCCGGATCAGCCGGGCTGTGGTGGGTACGTGGCCCTGCGGGCCGCTCCAACAACAGCCCGGTGGACCAAACTCTCACAAGTCGAGCCTGGCCTCGGGACGGGCTTGGGGAGTAGAAGAACTCCCAGAACCCCATCAACCAGGTATCAACCAGAGGATGGAGGCCGGAGAAGAATCTCTAGGTACGAAACACCATGTAGTGTTGCCGGTCCAGTGCAGAGCGGCAGTGTTGGATCTGTCGTACTCTGTGGACTCTGCAGGTCACCTGGGGGTGACCAAGACGTTGCGTAAGATTAGGGACCATTTCTACTGGCCAGGTATGGACGCCGATGTGAGGCGTTATTGTAAAACGTGCTTACCTTGCCAGGGGGCAGGGAAGAGCCAAATCGCGATACCAAATGCCCCGTTAGTCCCTGTTCCTTCGTTTGGGCCTGCATTTGAGCGTCTGTTGGTCGACGGGGTTGGACCGTTGCCACGGACGAAACGAGGAAATACCTACCTGATGACAATCATGTGCGCGTGGACAAGATTTCCGGAAGCTGTCTCGATGCGTAAATTTGACGTCGAGAGGAGTAGCCGGGGAGCTGCAGCGATTTTTCTCTTGGGTGGGAATGCCCAAGGAAATCCAGATGGACTGTGGAACTATATTCCAGTCCAAATGGTTCAGACAGACCGTGACAAATTGGGGAGTGACTCAGATTCGGTCGTCGCCCTACCGACCGCAGTCGCAAGGGGTGATCGAAAGGTTTCACTCCACCCTGAAGACCGTTCTGAGAGTGTTCTGTGCAGAGCAGGGAGCCGAGTGGGATGAGGCAGTGTACCCTGCGTTGTTTGCCATACGTAATGCAGTGGTAGAGTCGTTAGGTTTCTCACCGTTCCAGCTGGTGTATGGACATGAGGTACGAAGTCCTTTGTCCATGCTGAAAGAACAATGGACACCAGGAGTGACCGTGGGAACGGTCAACGAGTACGTTCAGAAGTTCAAGGAGCGTCTCACTTTAGCAAAGGAACTAGCAGGGAAACATTTGAAGGATGAGCAGCGTAAGATGTCAGAATGGTATGACAAGAAAGCTACGCCAAGAGAGTTCCCGGTTGGGTCCCAGGTTATGGTATTGCTGCCAGGGAAGAGCCGAGTGACAGAGTCACGATTCGAGGGACCGTACAGGGTGCTACGGCAGTTGGGTCCTGTAACTTATGAAATCGGTAAGCCGGATAGACCCCGCAAGACACAGGTGTGTCATATTGACCGCCTGAAGCCTTTCTTCCCAGAGGAAGGAGGAGCCGTCGAGCAGGACGGAACGATGACTCGAGACCCCCAGCAGAAGATGATTTTGTGCATGCAAGTGGATCATGAACTTCCAGAGGAGGAAGGAAAGTGGTCCAGGGCGGACGGCACCCATCTCACCAATTCGGAGAATTTGGCGAAGATTGAAGACAAGTTACAACACCTGGAAAGACAACAGAGCGCGGACCTGACGAACCTGTTGAGAGAAAATTCCTCTGTCTTTACCGACGTGCCCCAACGACACAAAAGTGTAACGCACGAGGTAGAGGTGAGGGACGCCAGGCCCATCAAACAGAGCGCTTATAGGGTCAGCCCAGAGAAGTGAGAGTTGATGAGGAAGGAGGTGAAGTATCTCCTTGAGAACGACCTTGCAGAGCCTAGCAACAGTGAGTGGAGTTACCCATGCTTGTTAGTGAAGAAAAGCGATGGTACATTCCGCTTTTGTACAGACTACAGAAAGGTGAACTCCATCACTGTGGCAGATTCCCACCCTATGCCAAGGGTGAGTGATTGCATCGACCAGGTGGGTAGTGCAAGATATGTATCCAAGGTCGATCTGCTCAAGGGGTACTACCAGATCTCATTGACTCCCGTTGCCAGGAAGATATCAGCTTTCGTAACACCGGACGGGCTGTACCAGTACAAGGTGTTGCCCTTCGGAATGAAAAACAGCGGTAGTTGTTTCCAACGCATGATGAATGAGCTGTTAAGGGGGGCCGAAGGCTGCACGGTATACATCGATGACATAGTAGTGTACTCCGATGATTGGGAGACACACCTGGAGAGACTCAGAGAATTGTTCAGGAGGCTAGAGGATGCTAACTTAACCGTGAACCTAGCGAAGAGTGAGTTTGGGAAGGCCCACTTAGAGTACCTAGGCTTCGTCATCGGCCAAGGAGAAGTAACCCCTGTAGATCACAATGTGTCAGCCATTAGGGAGTACCCAGTGCCCAGGATACGTAAGGAGCTGTTGAGGTATCTTGGGATGATAGGATACTATTGTGGTTTCTACAAGAACTTTTTCACGGTAGCGCATCCCCTGACTGAACTACTCTCTAAGAATGTACGATGGAAGTGGGGAGAGGCCTGCCAGGAGTCTTTTGAGAAGACGAAGAAACTGTTGACGGAGGCCACAGTATTAATATCTCCAGATTTTTCAGCCAGATTCCTCCTGTACGTGGATGCCAGTGACGTTGGGATAGGGGCCATGTTGGCCCAAGAGAGGAGTGAGGTACATAGGCCAGTAGCTTTCTACTCCAAGAAATTTGTGAAGTACCAGCGTGCCTATAGTACTGTCGAGAAGGAGGCTTTGGCTTTAGTAATGGCCCTGAAGCACTTCGACGTGTACGTGGGAGGGGGGGGCGAGACCTGTTCTTGTTTACAGATCACAACCCTCTGACCTTTTTGTACAAGATGAGAAACTCCAACCAGCGGCTGACGCGGTGGGCATTACTACTGCAGGAATACTGGCTGGACATCAAGCACATCAGAGGGAAGGACAACGTGGTAGCGGATGCCCTGCCCCGTATACACTAATCAGATATGACTCTTATTTTAAGGGGAGGGGTATGTGACGGTGTTCCCCCCTTATATTTCTCCAACGCCAGCTGTAAGAGTCATATCCACTTTACCCGAGCGTTCTCTACGTTGCGGGCAACAATTTGACGTATGTGGGAGCGTGTAGTGTTCTCACGTTGGCGAGAAATTTGTGAAAGAAGAGTATTTTGGCCTGTGGTTTAGGCCCTTTAGGACGCCAATAAGGAGCCGGTCCCTCCGTTCTCCCGCCAAAACTGTATGACGTCAGTGGCACCAGATTGGTCACGGACAGTGACGTGGCACAGGGAGCCAATGAGAAATGCCCCTGGCAAGTATGACATCACGAGAGCAGGGGTGTCCGGAGATCGCGCCTCAGTGGCACCACCAGTTGGACACGACACGTTGACGAGGTCGGACGTGCGAACGTTGGTCCTGTCAGTTTGACAGTTGTATCCCGCTCCCGTGGATTTTACGCGTCATCCGGAGTCTACAAGTACGCTGTGAGGTCTTCCATCGTTCATGTGTTGGTCCGAAGAGGGAATCGACGAAATATTGAGTAACAAGTGCTCCAGGGACAGGTGCTTTGCAAGAAGAAGTGAAGTCTGTGTAGTGACGTATGTGACGTCTGAGACAGTTCACCCGTCTAGTGCGACGTAGCAGCTGGACCAATCCACCGGGAAACAGCTGAAGAAGAAAACTAAGGGGGAATCAGGACGGGTGCAGCCGAGAGTAGGACTGCAGACGTAGTGGCGAGGAGAAATCGAAGGCCAGGAGACCGACTCCAACCCTTCAAGAAGTTGTGGAGGAGCACGGGGCCTGCAGAGGACAGAGCACGGAGACGACACGTTATTTTGGGATGTTGATTGGGTTCCTGGAGAGAGCATCAGTGTGTGTGTATGGGGGCGTTCCCTACAACGAGTCAAGAGCCTGAACCAGGAGCTGCAATTCGACTCTCACCGGAGGGCGAGTCCACATCAGTGAGGTGGAAGTAGGTGATTCTAGTTTCCCTCCCAATTCCCCTTTAGTCAGCTATATTTAGCCAGAGCATTTCTATGTCATGAGCAAGGCTCATGACATAGAAGATACATATATGTATATATATATATATATGCATATATATATATATATATATATATATATATATATATATATATATATATATATATATATATATATATATATATATATATATGTCGTACCTAGTAGCCAGAACGCACTTCTCAGCCTACTATGCAAGGCCCGATTTGCCTAATAAGCCAAGTTTTACTGAATTAATATATTTCTCTAATTTTTTTCTTATGAAATAATAAAGCTACCCATTTCATTATGTATGAGGTCAATTTTTTTTATTGGAGTTAAAGTTAACGTAGATATATGACCGAACCTAACCAACCCTACCTAACCTAACCTAACCTATCTTTATAGGTTAGGTTAGGTTAGGTAGCCGAAAACGTTAGGTTAGGTTAGGTTAGGTAGGTTAGGTTGTCGAAATAACATTAATTCATGAAAACTAGGCTTATTAGGCAAATCGGGCCTTGCATAGTAGGCTGAGAAGTGAGTTCTGGCTACTAGGTACGACATATATATATATATACATATATATATATATATATGTCGTACCTAGTAGTCAGAACGCACTTCTCAGCCTACTATGCAAGGCCCGATTTGCCTAATAAGCCAAGTTTTCCTGAATTAATATATTTTCTTTAATTTTTTTCTTATGAAATGATAAAGCTACCCATTTCATTATGTGTGAGGTCAGATTATTTTTATTGGAGTTAAAATTAACGTAGATATATGACCGAAATTAACCAACCCTACCTAACCTAACCTAACCTATCTTTATAGGTTAGGTTAGGTTAGGTAGCCGAAAACGTTAGGTTAGGTTAGGTTAGGTAGGTTAGGTAGTCGAAAAACAATTGATTCATGAAAACTTGGCTTATTAAGCAAATTGGGCCTTGCATAGAAGGCTGAGAAGTGCGTTCTGGCTACTAGGTACGACATATATATATATAAATATATATTTATATATATATATATATATATATATATATATATATATATATATATATATATATATATATATATATATATATATATATATATTTTGATAGCAGTCTTTCCTGTAGACATATATTATTAAATATGACCGAAAAAGTAAGATTAATAATTCTAACACGAATTGTCTCGATCTTTCGTACGTTTCTTTTCACTGTTGGTGGTAATTCAAAAATCAGTTCTCCAAAATTCATTTTTATTTGTAGTCTGACGCGACACTTGAGCGCGTTTCGTAAAACTTATTACATTTTCAAAGACTTTAGCTTACACATACACAACTGAATAGAACTTAAACATCTTCGATTTCTTTATATCTACATTTGAGTGAGGTGGATGGGGTGAGGTGGTATTAATACGGTATTAAATTCCTAAACAAAAGACAGAACACGAAACAATGGGTATTGAATGGAAGTGATTTGTTGAAAGCCTATTGGTCCATATTTCTTGATGCTTCTATATTGGAGCGGAGTCTTGAGGTGAGTAGAATATAGTTGTGCATTAATTGGCTGTTGATTGCTGGTGTTGACTTCTTGATGTGTAGAGCCTCGCAGACGTCAAGCCGCCTGCTATTGCTGTATCTATCGATGATTTCTGTGTTGTTTACTAGGATTTCTCTGGCGATGGTTTGGTTGTGGGAAGAGATTATATGTTCCTTAATGGAGCCCTGTTGCTTATGCATCGTTAAACGCCTAGAAAGAGATGTTGTTGTCTTGCCTATATACTGGGTTTTTTGGAGCTTACAGTCCCCAAGAGAGCATTTGAAGGCATAGACACTGTTGGTCTCTTTTATCCGGTGAGAGTCGATCTAAAGAAGAACGCTTTAAACGAGACCAACGTCGTCTATGCCTTCAAATGACCTCTTGGGGACTGTAAGCTCCAAAAAAACCAGTATATAGGCAAGACAACAACATCTCTTTCTAGGCGTTTAACGATGCATAAGCAACAGGGCTCCATTAAGGAACATATAATCTTATATATATATATATATATATATATATATATATATATATATATATATATATATATATATATATATATATATATATATATATATATATATAAATATATATATATATATATATATATATATATATATATATATATATATATATATATATATATATATATAAATATATATATATATATATATATATATATATATATATATATATATATATATATATATATATATTATTAAATATGACCGAAAAAGTAAGATTAATAATTCTAACACGAATTTTCTCAATCTTTCGTACATTACGCTTCACTGTTGGAGGTAAATCAAAAATCACTTCTCCAAAATTCATTTTTATTTCTAGTCTGACGCGACACGGGCGCGTTTCGTAAAACTTATTACATTTTCAAAGACTTCACAAATACACAACTGATTAGAACTTACGTATCTCTGCTATTATATCTATATTTGAGTGAGGTGGGAGGGGTGATGTGGCATTAACACAAGACAGAACATGAGGGGATATTAATAGGGTATTAAAAGTATCAACACAAGACAGAACAGAAACAATGGGTATTGAATAGAAGTGTTTGTAGAAAGCCTATTGGTCCATATTTCTTGATGCTTCTATATTGGAGCGGAGTCTTGAGGTGGGTAGAATATAGTTGTGCAATAATTGGCTGTTGATTGCTGGTGTTGACTTCTTGATGTGTAGTGCC